TACATTTTACTCTGCTAATTTTTTTATCTGCTACTTACACCTATACAACATTTATACAATGATATAATATTTCTGCTGCAAAAAAAAAGGAATCGTGCCTTCTTCAAGTACTACCACTACTACTACCACTTCCGCTACTACTACCCCTAGTGGTGGTCCTCCTCAAAGACCTGCACCACCCACAAATATTGGTATGTCTCAAGGGATAAAGGAAGTTTGAAGAAAATAGATATTGTTTCTTTAAAAACGGAATAGATGATAACGCATGTGAACTTAGACATTAGATCCCCATATTTCTAGATTTACATGCTCGGGCAGAGAAATGATTCCTTTTTGCATCATACATCACGACATCATACACTTTCTGTTAAAAAATCAAAATCCCTGCAGATTATATACATATGTATATACATAATGTATACATTATGCTTAAATTTTATATTGCAATGCATTGTAATAATTTTAATTGCCAATTTGTTACATTTTTTTGTAAATTATTATCTTATTTGCTAATATCCTATATTTTCTTTACAGTATCTTATTGTACTGAATGTTTTGCAGTTAATATAGAATAATATTAAGTGAATAGGTAATTGACACTGTATAATTTCAGGGGCAAACTTTATACCTGCTACTACTGGTCCTCCACCAAAACCTGCACCACCTTCATTCCCCAATAGTCCAGTAACAGCTGGAATGTCACCAGTGAAAGTGCCACCTGTGTCTGCTATGCAAGTGGTTCCTCCAGTTCAGCAAATACAACCCACTTCTGCAATAGGTAAAATCTACTTATTTTTAACATTTAAGTCAGTTTTCATTTTCTTTACGTTTTATATATTTTTACTACTTGAGCAGATTGGAAAGAGATACTATGTTGAGTTCTCAATGATATTTTACTTCCTTGTTTACAGATTTCCTTGATTTTGATTTACCAGGTATTCTTAATACAATAACACATTATGTGTTGTAGGAAGTACAATTATATTAATTTCCATGACTTTTTTGTTGGTGAATAACAAAATTTATATTTTTGTTTATAATATTTGTAAAAGTCTTACAGTTTTTATTTTCTAATATGAAATTCCAGTACATATAATCCTTGGTAGTGTGTATTCTATAGTGTAGGACTAATTGTTCAGTAACACTGTTTTTATAGAAAAGGCTACTAAATTGGTAATCTGTTAGGATAAGATATTAACTGTATGTATTATCCTTTATTGATTTATGTAGACAAGAATAATACTTTCTTGAAGTCACTAATTCCAAAACCTATAAAATTTAGTAATTTTATAAATATTAATATTTAATATTAAGTACACAATTTATGTTAAACAGGTATGCCAGCAGTAGCGCCAATCGCTCCTTTGAATACAAATCCAACACCAATTGCTGCTTTCGGAATGGGTCAAACGATGCCAATGCAACCACTATGTACTGGTATGACTGCTCCAATTGGTGGTCCAGCTATTGTATCATCCGTTGCACCAATGCCTAGTGGTATATAAACTTTAAAATGTTTTCAATTAACTTTTATTAAACTCTTTACCTTACAATATTAAGGGACGTTTACAATGCGGATTTCGAATCAAACAGTTGTATGACAAAATGTTTCTCTATCCCATCACATCAGAAACTTTGGTCTTAAAATTGTAAGGCAAAAAGTTAATCAATACTGTAAAATCTTCATGCATTCAATAGAATTAGCGATGTTAATTATAAATATCTAACTGATGTACCAATAGATATATACTTTTCTAGGAACTGGTGTAGTGTCTACCCCTCCAATTGTAGGTTTACCCCTAGTCTCATCATCTGCGGCAACCGGCACATTAGTGAACGGTGTAATTGCTCAGACTCCAGTATCCACAAGCACACCATTAAGTACAACAGCACGCCCGCCAAGTATAGATAGAGTGGGTTCGGTTGATTCACAACATAGCCAGCATAGTCAGCATAGTCAACACAGTCAGCATTCAGTGGGCTCTCCACAATCTATAGAATGGGCTGTACCACATCAAACAAAATTAAAGTATACTCAACTGTTCAATACCTGGGATAGAACACGGACTGGTTTCTTATCTGGTCCGCAAGCTAGAAATATTATGGTGCAGTCACAGTTGCCACAACCAAAATTGGCAGAGATATGGTATGGTGACTTAATCATATACAACATTCAATAGATATCATTACAGTAATGGTCCATAGCAGTTTTGTAGAATGCGATTGCTTTATTAGGACGCTTGCCGATATGGATTTGGATGGTCGTTTAAGCTGTGACGAATTTGTGTTAGCAATGCATTTATGTGATATTGCCAAGGTTGGTGAAAAGATACCCGCCACGCTTCCAATAGAATTAATTCCACCTGCATTCAGACGTCAACGGCAGAGCAGTTTAACACTTTCACAGGGTGGAACAGAAAATATTGACCCATTAGCTGGTATGCCACAGGTAAAATTCATTTTTATAATCTTGGATTTCAATATTTACTCTTTATGTTCCATATTTATTGAAGACTTTTTTTAAAGACATCCTTTGAAGATAAACGTAAAGAAAACTTTGAAAAAGGTCAAGCAGAATTGGAACGTAGACGTAAAGCATTGTTAGAAATTCAGCGAAAAGAGCAGGAAGAACGCGAAAGAAAAGAAAGAGAAGAAGCAGAAAAACAAGAAAAAATTAGGTAAGTGAATTTTATGTATTTTATAGCTCTATGTTCCTCATATTAATGAAAATAATATAACAGGTTAGAACAAGAGAGGCGTAGACAAGCAGAAATTGAAAAACAAATGCAGAGACAAAAAGAAATTGAACAGGAAAAAGAAGAACAACGAAAAAGAGCACAGGAACAAAGAGAAGCAGCGCGGAAGTAAGTTGAATATTTTGTTTTGAAATTGTTAATAGATTCTTATAAGTTCATTTCGTTTTCCAGAGAAATGGAGAGACAGAGACAGTTAGAATGGGAGAATCAAAAATCACAAGAACTGCAGGCACAAAGACAAAAAGAACAGGATGTACTGCTTAAGTTGAAAGCAAAGAATCAAACGTTAACTATTGAACTTGGAACACTTGTAAGTATTGAGTAGGTTTTCAATGAAGTAAACTTTGTTCGTATAATGCAGGTTGCATAATTTATAAATCTCGTTTATACAGAATGATAAAGTAAAGGAATTATCGCAAAAAATTTGTGACACTAGAGTGGGTGTTTCTGGTGTTAAAACGACTATTGATGGAATGCGGTCGACTCGTGATGCACAATTACAAGAGATGGCTGCTTTAAAGAATAAACTCCGCGAACACAACCAAAGATTACTAGTTTTGAGTCAAGAAAAAGCTCGTATCGAAGCGAAAAACAAATTAAACGCAAGCATGGAATCTGCTGGACAAGAGGCGATTAAAATGGCATTAGATAACAATAAACAGATCGCTCTTAAACAAATGAAGGATAAAATTACTGATTTGCAGCAACAGGTATACATAAATAGATTCTGATAAATTTATGTTTAATGTACAGTAATTTCTAAGTATAGTATTTATGTTGATAGATCGAAGTAAAAATGGCTGATATAGAAAATAATAATGGCCAACTTCAAGATATTAAGACACAGATACAAAATTTAGCCACCGACTGCAAGAATCTCTATGTTTCGTTTGAGGAAAAGAAATTGAAGGTCTTAGAACTTAGAGCTAATGCCGGTACCGGTGCTCCAACCGATTATACATCTGCTTGGGGTGATAGTGGTTGGAATGACAATGCTGAACCAGCTAATGATAATGCTTGGCCTGTTAGTGATACTACCACAGTTACAGCTGTAGAAGAAGCTACTCCAGGTGTCATGAAATATAGGGCTCTGTATGAATTCGTAGCCAGAAATCAAGATGAGATATCATTTCAACCTGGCGATATTATTCTGGTAATTGTTCTAAAAGCATGTAGATATTGTGCATTGAAATATAAAACTAGCAATTAATCGATATATATATAAATTAGGTACCGCCTGTTCAAAATGCTGAATCAGGTTGGATAGCCGGTGAAATTCGCGGTCACATTGGATGGTTTCCTGAGTCTTATGTCGAACGTGTAGATGCTGTACCAGAAAATGAAAATGCTTTTGTACAACAAGACAGTGTGGAAAAAAGAACTTTAGAGTTAGTGAAATACAAAATATACAAATTATTAAAACCACTTAAATTACTTATTCTCATTTCTATCGTCGCAGAGGAATAGCTGAAGTTCCTGAAAATGTATCCGACGCTGGTTCATTAGGTGGAGAACCTCCTAGTGTTGAACCTATTATTCCTACTCTTGGATTGGGTGCAGCCTGCGATATCCAAGCAACAGCTCTCTTTCAATATCGACCTACAACCGACCAACACCTTAATTTTGAAAAAGGAGATATTATTAAAGTCATTGAACAACAGGTAATCATACAATTTATAAGTCAATTGAGGCACTGAATTATATAAATTATCTGCTTAATTAGGGTGATTGGTGGTATGGTACATCTAGTATTGGAAACAGTGGTTGGTTTCCCAAGTCGTATGCTAAAGAAATTAGTGTTAATCAAGCTGCAGTGGTTGATGGTCTCAACGAATATTATATGGCTCTATATCCTTACACCTCTGCCGAACCTGGAGATCTGACATTTAATCAAGGAGAAGTTATATTGGTGACTAAGAAGGAAGGTGACTGGTGGACAGGCAATGTAGAAGATAGATGTGGAATTTTCCCTGCTAATTATGTAGAAAAATGCGATGCTCCAGATCAGGTGCAATAATTTTTTATTTCACTATTTTAACACATGCGATTCTTTATTATATTTGAAATCGTGATTTTATTTATAATTCTAACACGTGGTGAGTTCTTTGACTTTAACATCATGTGTAACATTAATCAGGATGTCTCTGCACCTACTGAAGCGACTGAAGCAATTGCAACGACTGAGCCGACCGCAGAGATAACGACACCTAGCCATGTAGCACTGGTTTGTAATATTTATTTTAAAATTCTCATTTCGTATACTCCCATGTCGAGAAGTATATTTGCTATCTTGTATTGTACAATATCAATTTATTTCTTAATTTAACTTTGTACGTATACATAAGCTCATTAGATTGCAAAATGTATAGTAAGCTAGATACGCTATATCCATGTTTAGAAAGAGGAAAAGACTGCTGAGCAGCTAGAAGACGAAAGAGCTGCCGCAGAAGATAGAGCAGAATTACCAGACTTTACCGCAATGGCAGCACAGCAGGTAATTAGTAGGGCCATAGCTTGTGTATGTGTATTTTGAAAGTGTATGGTATTTGTTATTTGATGAATCTAAATTGCTTTCCATTTTGTCCTCATTGCTGGCATCCCACTACTGCAGTATGTTAAGGTATTCTATCTCTTAAAAACATAGCTTTGTAAAAAGCTTCCCTTATTTTTCATATACAATTGAATATAGAAGATAGTAATAGACAAATAAAACAGTGTTTTAAAATATATATTTTTCACACTACAGCGAGGGAGGAAACCTGAAATTGTACAAGTTATTGCACCGTACCAAGCTACTAGTTCTGAGCAATTAGATTTACAGAAAGGAGCGTTGATAATGATACGTAAAAAGACAGATAGCGGATGGTGGGAAGGCGAGTTACAGGTTCGCGACAATACACTATTAATTGTACTTGTCAAATAACATCCGAAATCTTAATAATCACGGTGTTAAATACTATATTTTTATAGGCTCGTGGTAAAAAAAGACAAATTGGTTGGTTCCCAGCATCTTATGTTAAGCCTTTGACCAGTAGTAGCAATCGAAGTACACCAGTTTCCCATGGTTATCAAGATTCCCCTACAGATCCAAATGCTGGTAAGGTTTCTTTTCTGGCCTCCAGAAAATATATTTAACTATACCTGTTTAATAATAGGTATAAGATATTAAAATTTCTCTCTATCTTCTTTTTAGAACGCGTTATGGCATTATATCCATACCAGGCGCAAAATGAAGACGAGTTAAGTTTCGAGAAAGGTGATGTTATACTCGTAACTGCAAAAGACGAGGAACAGTGGTGGAAAGGCGAACTGAACGGAGTGTCCGGTGTATTCCCCAGTAATTATGTATCTCCAATGTGTAAGTATTCTTTTTTGTTGCATAGTAGTATGTTAAAAATTCAGAATTCGACAGAGAATTTGTTTCCAAAGAAGTATGCTTATGTTTTTGTCCATCATAAACGGTTAATGAATCATGTTTTCATCGACTGTGTGTAGCAAAGTAGTATCATGAAAGTTGTACGAAACCACGAAACATAATTATTGTAGCATAGTTTTCATCTGTGGTATACGGATAGACGGACGACCGTCAGGTTTAATTTTGATCAGTATCTGACAATGTTGATGGAAATTGACATTATATAAATAAAAATGTTAATTGTATAATTTATCATTTTTTTGCGACGGTCGTTTAATAAGACTTGACAAATAATAATTTTCTAGTGCATATATGACGAAACTATTCTAGTATTAGTAAAATGTATCACATTCCATACTCGCCTTAATGTGATTATAAACATATTACTCGTATTTATGGTATTCGTATCCGAATAGTTGCTTTTTTATTTAAGGAACTTAAAGATTACAGGCATAATTAGGAGTATCGTTACCAAACACATCGAACTGTAATGCTTTCAGTTCTTATGCTAAATGTAAACCTTGACTACTACTATGATTCATGAGAATTACTATGTCAAGATTGGTGATAGTTGTACAAACACAATGCGTTTTTTAGAGTTTATTAGTCACAACAGGTGTTGTGTGTGCTTCCTGCTCTGATATGGCTGCATTAAAATTAGCACTTTGGCTTGGAAAGATGGTACATGTTTAATGTACAGTAATTGTTACTTCATTTCTGATCTATTTGTTATTGGTAGTTTGAGGTATAAATTATTATAGAGCAGAATACTTTCTCTATTATACAGCCTGCCTGTCTGCCTGCATGCCTGCCTGTCCGTCCGTCTGTCCGTTTGAGGTAGCTGTTTCGTTCTAACATAAAGCATTCAATTATTCTATTATACATATTCAATAGAAAAATATATTTATTTTATATTATGTTACACATTTCTACTAAGAAACATACGTAGTATTATATTATTTTCAATGTTTATATTTGCATCAGCAGTTTGTAAATCACAGTTCTTGTATCAGTAATCTTGATAACAATTCGTACAAGTTTTATTTTGCATTAAGAGCCTTCAGCAAATTTAGTAAATGGAATTAACATTAATGGCATTGAAAGTATTTGTAACTGTACTCTTTTATTTGCAATTCATTTGCTTTTGTAAAATATTTGAGAACTAGTCCGTTGTATTGCTAGTATTACAAAATGAAATAGCTACTTCAAGCAATTCAAACTTTCATTTGATACGATTTCTTGAATCAACGAATCCTTTTTACTAATTGTTATCTTTCGCCTCTGCTTAACATGCAGCATAAAGGATAGCAGAGCAGCACCGCAACATTGCAGGCTAAAATAAAAACATCAGAAGTGCAATAAGAATGATAGCAGACTCTACGCTCAGCACAACGTGTTGCAACCGACAAGTCTCGTCGCCAGAGACAGTGAGCATAGAAATGAGAGAAAAAAAAAGAGAGAAAGACTCAGGGCTGGTTCTTCATTTCTATATTACTTTCAATTACATGCAAGCCTTTTCCCTCTGGTACGGGATCCTGCTCGTTCCTTTGTTTTCATTGTCATTCAAATTGTTACCATGCGTCTCATCGACCATTATACTTAAAGCTATTGAACCTCTATGTACGGTTTCAATGCGGATATTATTGTGCAGTATTTATAAACGTATGCGTATACAAGAGCGCTAAATATTTAAAATGGAAATGAAAAAAAAGTTATATCGTAAATATCATTACGACCACCTGACATGTGCACCAAATTCTACCTCAACCCTCTACTTTGATCCAAAAACTCCAAAGTCGAGGCAAATATGATTTCTTTGTCTACTTAGAATAATATCTAGTACCATCAATGCTTAATATTTTAATGAAATGTAAATTCGTTTGAAACATTCTATTTTTAGAACAAGTTAACTGCAGCTTTCATTCGTACTAGCACTTTTAGCCCGAAACTTCATTTATTAAATAAATAATTTTATTTCTTTTGTTTTATGACAAATTTAGCAAATGATTTTAGTAAAAATCTATTATATTTGAGGATAGATCTGTAGTAAATGGAAGTACTTTTTACTAGAAGCAATGACAATAAATATTTAACTATGTATCTGTAAAACATTCACACTAGTCTATAGGTTTAAAAACATTTGAGCGGCTTTATGTGTAAATAAAAACGTACAAAAAAAAATATCTCTGTAATAAAAGGAAATTGTTTTTAAAAGTCACTGATGTCGGGCTTAAAGTGTTAGGCCAGTTAGAAAGATAATTATGCTGGTTGTTAATAATTATTCCGGCTCTTGGTAACCAGTGCCCTTTGTAGGAAATGTTAACATTAAAAAATCTTTAATACTGCCCTTCCTTTTTTTATATAAGCAGCATAGCATATCATTTGGTGCGCAACACGGATGGTTTGCACAGTTATTCTACTGCGCCAAGGCCTAGTGCAAAGGTTTCATAGCAATTTAAAGTATGAGCATATGAACATCATTTTTCTGCTTGCCTTCAATGTAAAGGGAGAAGGAGTTGTTGAATCACTAGCTGAATATTCTGGTCGAAATTTCATTTCACCATGCGGACAGATGAAGAATGTTATATCGTATAAACAATGCTCATTCAGTCTCGAAATATTGCTCGATTATGAAGTTTATATAGTTTTCCTGTTTAAATTCAAAATTTTATTGTAAACATAGCAGTTAAAAAAGAGATAACAATCTGCCTAGAATTAGCTAAGAGAATGATTGTTCTCTTTTAAATTCAACGTGTTTAACCAAATCTGTTGTTCCTATTTATTTATTCTATACATAGTTATTATTTGTTTCTCTTTAATTCGTCTAAGTAATACACAATGAGAGATGATGTGCTCCTTCTTCGCAGCCTTCTATTATAGAGCCTAAATCATCATTAAAATATCAGTAATAACAATCATAAAGATATAGATAGTTATTATTACCACTGGTGGGAATGATTTGTTAAGTAATGTTACATTATCGTAAGCCAGTTTTTCCATCAATTTATTCCTGGATATGATAGTTTATAATTATGTATATGTAGGATACCTTACTATGTTATATTTAATGGCAGATCTTTTACCTTTATTATTTATCTTTATGGACATAATATAATGAATCTCGATGTTGAGATACTTAAATCTTGTGTTATTGTTTTATAGAATTATTGTCGACCTAATTTATTGCTTCTGTTAAAATCAGTGAGTATTGTGGATAAAACTGTAAATTATTTTAATACTCTATTGTTTTATAATTTTAAATCCTCCATCAAAATCGTTCGCTGTATTTAGTAGAACAAATAAATTAGTGAGCGTTTTCGTGTTCACTTAAAGTTCATTCCATTTACTGTATCAGGAAATTGATGGAATAACTAGTTTCGAATAACTGCAAGAACCAAGCGCACAGTAGACCAGCATATTTATACACTGGTTGATCCTTTTACACGTTCTATATGAGTCTTTGCAAGAAAGGTGTATAAATATGTCTGGTCATATGGAAAAACATTGTGTGCTTAATATTAAATATTCTAGATGCGCCTGTAATCTTGTAATCTTTATCTAAACATGTTGATAATTGTGTAAAGCAAGTTATGCAACTGGTTACACTTAGACAAAATACTTGTGTAGTGCTAATCCTTAAGATTGTTACTATTTGCAAAAATATCCATATTGTTTGTTTGTTGTAATGTCGAATCTCATTATGAATCTCAATTGTGTGTGGTGTACTCGTGAGTGAAGGAACACTGTACGAGTGTGAACAAGTTCAGATCGTTGTGTATTTATTATCAGATTTTTGTTCACATTTCATGTGAATATACTCTGGATCTTTACACGTATGCATATACACGCCGTTCTTATACATATGTACACATATCCATACATATACAAACGTGTTCGCAAAACTGCTGATTGAAATAAAGTATCTGTCCGTTGTAAAGTATCGTTGTCTACGACGACTCTCTATTATTTGGCAATACCTAAATACTAACTTAAGTATTAACAATGTTACTTCAAATCAAAACATATCAATATTTTGTTATGTTCAATTTCGGGAATACGTTCTTTTTTTAATTGACAATGTACTGAGTAATTTGTTTATTATTTCCTTTTTCTTGATTAGTGATAGTAAATTTAAAAGGAGGAGTAATATAAGTACAATAAACAATTTTTTCATACATTTTATGTGTAGTAAATGAGATGACAACTGACCTAACATCTGGGTTGGATGCAATTGAAAGAAAACGTCAAGAATACATCAAAGAACTTATTACAACTGAACAAGCTTATATAGAAGATATGAGACTTGTTCATGAGGTATTTAAAAATTATTTTGTGTTTCTTACATTGATATTTATATCTGAATAAATTAATATAATGAACGAAATCTGTTTGCAGGTGTTTGAGAAACCTCTTATTGAAAGTTTAGTTTTAACTGTGGATGAAGTGGACAAAATATTTGTTAATTGGAGAGATATCATTGCCTGCAACGACAATTTTTTAAGGTAGCGTTTTTTAGCAAATCATTAAGTTAATAATAATAATTTTGATATAATAATTTTTATATTTTTTCAGAACACTGAGAATACGACGAGATAACAGCGAAGGAGGAGTCGTAAGAATGATCGGTGATATCCTATGTGAAAACGTAAGTTTTCATTTTTATGTTACTGTTTTGTATTTCTAATAGCATGCATTGTGTCTTCTAGATACCCAGAATGTCAGCTTATATTAGATTCTGCAGTTGTCAAATATCTGCTGCAGTATACCTCCAACGATTGACTGAAACTGTACCAGAATTTGTTGAAGTGGCACACACTTGCCAACAAGATCCCCGGACAAAAGGAATGCCTCTAAGTTCTTTTTTAATCAAGCCTATGCAAAGGATAACAAAGTATCCTTTAATCATTGGGAAAGTAAACTATCTATTTGTTACATTAATTTCCATTTTCTATAAGATATTATAGACAAGACATTTGACTGCATGTGCTAAATATTTTAAAGAGTGATTTTCGGATTCTTTTACTTTATATACTCACCTTTTAAAATATTTACTACGTGTTGGAGAACGTCTTGTATGTTAAACGTAATCATTTTAGATTTTAGAACACACAGCAGCTAATCATCCTGACAGACAGTATCTCCAGGAAGCATTGGCTAAGGCAGAAGAATTTTGTACTCAGGTGAACGAGGGAGTTAGAGAGAAAGAAAACAGTGATAGATTAGAATGGTTACAAACGCATGTGGCTTGCGACGGTCTTGAGGAACAACTTATCTTTAATTCTTTAACTAATTCCTTAGGTCCACGAAAGCTTCTTCACTTTGGCATCCTTCATAAGGTAGTATAAAGCAGAAGATATATATTTTTAAATGAACAGAATTTATTTGACAAATATATACATGTTAGGCAAAAAGTGGAAAGGAACTTGTTGGATTTCTCACAAACGATTTTTTGTTGTTTGCTCAACCAACACTTCCCAAAAAGTCTTTTCCCAGTGGCCAACAATTTTCATTTGAAAGAAATGAACATCAGAAGTTCAAGATGTATAGAAAGGTACTAAATACCATTATCAATAATATCTTAATTACATGAGCGTGCTAACTAAAGTGTTTTTATTTTACAGCCAATATTTTTAAATGAATTGTCATTCTTAGGAGACTCAGACACAAATGGAAGCGTTAATAGTTTAAGCTGGGGTGAGAGTACAGAAAACTCAACGAAAATGCTCAGATTAAGAGACCAGAAGAAACCAATAATATTATTAGCCCCGTCCCCAGGCGAATGTTCTTTATGGACCAGAAGAATCACGGAGGCAAGAAAGACATTCTTAGAAAACGAGAAAACTCGTTTACAAAGACAAAAATCAAGTAAGTGTTATAATGTTCCATTTACAAATATTCTTGTTTGTAATAGTATGGTTCATATGTCCTTACATAATAATGATATTTGTACCCAAAATAATCTCGAGTGCAAAAATGGACGTTTCATTATTTATCAGCATTTTATTATGAATAATTCGAGGTATAATAATACGTACTATGTGTAAATAAACAGAGCTGGCACAATTTGGAGCGTGTGGCAGAATACTCGTTACAGTTCTGCAAGGTTTCAATTTGAAGACAACACCTGGTAAGCAGACGAGTGTGCTTAGGGTGTTCCTTCTTTGTATATGCACTACTTGCTTGCTTATAGCTGTTTGGTCCCTTTAATATCTTTCTTTATAAGCATCTAACAAAAGGAACGAAAATGGACTCATCAACCAGGAGAAACGATATCATTGAAAATTTCTTTAATCATATCATCACTATCTAACTGCATGATATACTTTTTACTAACAAATACCTGGCATGATTATAGTTCGCAGGAGACCACCTCAGGGTAAACTTTCGTTAGTAGTTGTAGAAGCTGAAGATATTATGATATCCAAAAAAGGTAAAATATTCTGCTTGCATGTTGTTTGCAATTTAACAATTGAGGTGTGCTGAAGTAATGCTTTCCTATTTCTGCAACATTTAAAGTTAATAGTAGTGCACTGTAATTTGTAGTGAAATCATAGATAATATTACTTTAGTAACATAAAATTAATAAATGTAATAAAACTGCTATATATAAATACACTGTCTGTGAACGTAACAATAGAGCTATGCTTGTTGTACGTGACAAAACTTAATTTTTTATATTAACATTGTAAATAGAGTAAATCTAAAGGAAACTTAATGAAATAATGTTCTCAGGAAAATGCAGTACATTCTGCAAAGTTAGTATGGGTTCACAAGAAGAGAGAACGGGTGTTGTATCAGGAACAGATTGCCCTCTATGGGATGCGTCAATGCAATTCCAAGTAAAGGATGTGCTTGAAGATACTCTATGTATAACTGTATTTGATAAAGGCTATTACAGTCCTGATGGTAAAGTTAATTTCATAAATAATTTATAAGAATAATTAAGAAAGTATATGTGACCGAAAATAAAAATCAGTACAATTAATACTCTTTACAGAATTTTTGGGTCGAGCAGAGATTAGGGTTGCAGACATAATGAAAGATAGCAGAGACTCGTGCGGTCCGATCCAAAAACGGATTCGCTTACATGAAGTTGAGAAAGGCATTGTAGTGTTAAAACTGGATCTACGGCTATTTGGCAATCGGAAAAAGGGTATTGTGTTCAGAGGTACGAAGCAACGGTAATTTAAATAATGTGTTCATACATAACAAAAGTTTTTTACTTTAAGGCTAGTTAAACAATTATACTAGATAGAGGTAATTGATACTAATAGATAGAGGACCATTTTTATACAAGAGTATTTATTATACGTTATAAGACTTTATAAATAAGGATTACCTGATATGATCTTTATTATATGAAACTCGTATCCAATGCAATCATTGGAATTTATTTATTAAACAAATATTTTTGTTATTTTTCATACTTTTTATATACATATCATAAGAAAGCCAAGAATGAATCGTTTTACGTTCAGTCTTCCTTAGAAGTAGCTATTTAAATTCTTGTCAATCTACAGTATTATATAAGAAATTTTTATACAAATGTAGTATTTGTTATTTTACAAATAGATATATTGTTATCGTAACAATGATAGTATATAATGAGAAAGCATTTATTTTTTGTATTAAATGTTATTCAACAAAATGTGGAATATTTAAAAGGGCATTAATATGAATAAAGTGGACACAAAGCAAATAATTTAAGAATGATTTATTGCATGAATACTTATTATATAAGTGCAATCGTCAACAAGTTTGCAATAAAATAAATAGTTTAATTTACATCGTTCGCGCTTGCTAACACGCGAAAATGTGTAACGTATAAATACGAATTGACATGTACAAAAAAATGACAACGTGTACTTGGATGATGTTTTATAAATTATTATGTATCCTATGATTAAAGCAGATGAATTAATGTAAATATAACGATTTCTTGGTATGATAATTATTTGCAGCGTTTTCGGTTACGTTAAAGACGATTACATGCAAAGAGGTGCAAGTATTATCATATAAGAATATTTCTTATTGTTCACATAATGTTGAATCCAACTCAAGTTTGTTACACTGTGTCATATCAAATTATGTGCATAGTTCCAATGGCTCATTTTCGTTTTAGTAACCAATGTTTAGTCTAATCGAATAACTTGCGCCGCGTTACATTTAATCGTTCTGTCTCAATTCAATCAGTTTGATTTTTCAAAAAATGCTTGACATTCAGACTTGTATAATTAACTTTGATCCCCGCGAAGACAACAAACCTTCCCAATCACCAACGCGCGAAGTTTCGAGATATTTAGTTTCTCTTCCATTTTTTTCTTGCTTTTAAGCGTTCCAATTAGCATTATCCTTTTATACATCACACATACTAATGCAGACCCTTGTACTCCAAAAATTGTTTATGATATATCTATCAAAACCTTATTTTCTGAGTCAGAGGCTGATAATGCCAAAAGGGACGCCGTGACAACAAAATACTCGAAACTTAGGTATTCTCATTTAAATAGCATATTTTCTAGTCATTAAACCTATTCCTTCATCAAACAACTGGACCAGTAGACTCCTGAACTTGCGCCTCTGAATTCACTTCACTGGGCTCCCTTCGCTCTAGCCTGTCTACGTCTTCCGTAGGAAACTCGTAAATTGGTTTGAACCCGCCGAATAACTGAGGCTTGAAGTTCTCTGGATCGAATTCGTTCTTCTCTGTCTGCGTCTCCTCTGCATTAGAAGTATTTTCAGAAGAGTCGTGATCATCATCCGATTTTCTATTTAAAGTGGGTTCTACGACGACAACGCTCCAGCCATTCTTAGAGGGTGCCTCGGCGCTGACACTAGCAACAAACGGTGCCATGAAATTTTGCGGAGAAGGCGCCGAACTGGAGGAACTGGATGGCTGTTGTGAAGGCAACAAAACCGGCTTCTGTTCGTTACTATCAGTCTTCGAGCTGTCTTCGTCTCGTACATCAATGTCAAGACGATGAGAGGCATGAGCTGTTGGCGTATAGACAAAGGCAATAGGCGTAGAAGATGGCGAAGATGGTAGCCTATGAAGTGTCGCTGAGATGACATCGTTCTTCCTTGCCGGGAAGGGAAGGAAGTCCTGTAAATAGGGTATAACATTCACGCTAGAATCTTTGTCATCCTTCTCTTCGCTGTTCTCTTTTACAGATTCTTCCTCCTGGCGCTGATCACTAGGAACCAATATAGGGGTCTCCCTCATCCCATTCGCAAGAATAGAAGGATCAGGTCGCTCTAACGGATAAGGGAAGTCCGAAACGACGGGTCGTCCACTGAATAAACTATGAATTGGAGGACTCTGTTCTTCGTCCATTTCCTGTTCTTCGTTGTCCTGGAGAAGCGTTTCTGGTGGAAGAGGTCTGTGAGGACCACGAGTTCCTACAACCACACTTTCATCTTTCTCTCTGGAATCGTCAGGGTGTATATTAACTGCAGTATTCACAGGGTATACTACGTAAACCGGAGGCTCGGCCATTGTCTTCCTTGTATCAAACTTCCTTCTGTCTGCCTCTTGGTCGATCACAATCTCGTCCGATTCATCGTTCACGCTTGGAGCACTAGGTGGTTGGCTTGACAATTCTGCGTTATCTTCCTCGAATGTTCCATGTTGTTGAATCATTTGAAGGGTGGCAACATGCGGCGAGTCGGCCGTTCTACGTTTTGGAAACAAAGGCGGCCTGGGTGGCACCTGGGGAGGTTCTTCCGAGTAACGTTCCGATCTCTCCTCCTCTTCCAACCGCAATTTCTGACTGGACAATCTCTGAAGTGATTTGACCTCCTCATCCCCTCTAGAGGTGGCTGATACCGCTGGGAGACGAAATCTCTTGACCGTGGACTCCGGATCCCTAGGCGGAACGATACTCTCAGATTTTGTGGAAGCTGCACCCGCAACTCTAAGTGCATGAATCGGTGGCGGTGGAGGATTGAGTCTCTGAAGATAAGACGGTGGTGGAGGTAAAGGTCTCCTTGTAGGAGGATGGACCTGCACAGGTTGCCTTACCCTAGTAGGGTAAGCTTGTCCAGCTGGAATAGTACCAATAGATTCCGAGCCACGGTGTCCATGAGATGTTTTCGCGTTTGGTCTGAACTGTGGCAAAATATTTGGCAAGTTAGAGTCAGGATAAGGTCGTCTCCTTATTGCTAGGTCGGAAGGAGGAGGCATCGACGGTTGCTTCCCACGCAATGGTAGCCTTTGCGGCCTTGGATGATCAGGCCTTACTGTACCGCCATGATGATAATGATAATAGAACTGGGATGGAGGTCTCGGTCTTTCCGCCGGTGGAGTCAAATTCTCTGAAAGCTGAGGTAAATGTTCTTCGTCGGATGCAGGTAACTCTACTCTGATAGGTTTATTCGTAGTAGAAGAAGGTATAATCTCGTGTACAGTTCCGTCGGCCTCGTTTATAACCACGATGTGTTCTTCTACAGGTTGTTTGGGTTCGTCTTTAGGAAAAACAACATAGTTGACATTTTTGTCATCTTTCTTGTCGTCTGCCTGTTCCATGAGCACCGTACTTTTTACAACTGTACCCTGAGTTCTTGATGGTTCTACTTCATTGTTGGCTTTTTGTGGAGCAGAAGGATTTGGTTGTCTCCACGTTTGAGCGGCGTAAATAGGATTATTATCAGTTATGGACACCGAAGGTAGCCCGATGCTTCCCTGATGGACTTGTGGCTCGTAATTGCCCTTATCAATCGATGGACTATACTGGGGCCTGAAGGAAGCGTCTACTCCCGTCGAACCACCATAAAGATTCTCTCCAATCGCCGTTCCTAACGAATAGTAACCACCTTCGACATTTTGCCTGTTGCCAAGCACAAAAGACACTGTGTCTTGATCAGGTGGTATGACAATGTTACTGGTACTCTCCACCAAGATTCCACCTAAGCCATTTGGCCTTTGATTAATGATTGGATTTGGCCTGTAGCCTTGATTAATGATAACATTGTCTGCCACGCCTTGCCTTCTGTGGTCATTTTCAAAAGTTATCGGGATCCTGAGATCATTGTCCAAAGGCATCGAAGTCACTGGACGCTGTGGCCGCGGTTGGAATGCCAAGGAATTACTTTGGTATGTACTCTCTTGAGGCATTGGCGAAGAAATCGTGAAAATAGAGGGTGGTGCCGCCGATGGTGGCATAGACGTGGTTGTTGTTGTAATTGTAGTAGTCTCTGGTGTTCCAGCAGTCACTGATATGTTATGTACAGTTGGCACTGTAGCAGACAAAGTGCTAGTCGTAACAATATCATTCGTCGATTCCTTCGCTGAACTGTAGTCCTTCATGTCTTCTTCGCTGATCTCATAATCCTCGTAACCATCTATATAATCATCATGGTGTACAGGAGGTTTCACTGAATCTCTATTATGAACTATGTTGTTTTGTCCTTGCTGATGATTATTATTATACATAGAGGCCTGTAGCTTCTCTATTGGCAGAATATCTTCATAATCATCCAAGTGATCAATGTATCGCTTAGGAGTAGTGATCGAAGGCTTCCATGTGGTTATCGTGGGTGCTTTTGTAGATGTGGAAACAACGGTGGTTCGTGGCGGGGGAGGTGTAGTAATAGTGGTAGTAGTGCTAGTAGTTGTAGTTATCGGCGGTCTAGGAGTCGTTGTAGTGGTTGTGGTGGTAGTGGTGGTGGTAGTGGTACTAGCAGGAGTATTAGACAATGTTGTGGTTCTAGGAGCCATGGTCGTTGTCGATGTAGATATTTTCGGCACATACGGCTTTCTAGTTGGATAATAGAGGACAGTTTCTCCATGATAAGGTTTATGATTGTAGGTACTATAGCTGTTCGAGCCACTTTGGACCTTGGTGTTCGCATACGAACTGGATATCAACGGATACTTGTCTTTGCCATACACGTCGGACGAATAATGAACAGGCAGATTAAGAAAATCATGAAAATTTGGCGAATAGGGATTGATCTCGTTAGGGCTGACGTCCACGGTCTCCTTGTTCTCAATCTTCTTCTTTAAATAAGTGGTAGGCTCTTTGGAAAAATCTTTGTTGACCTGTGCGTCGTCGTTCGCATGCTCTTGGTAACGAGTGGTGTAATTTAAAGCTTTCACAGGTGGTGCTTTCTCAAAATCAATCTTGCCGGTGATAGGGTCCTTCTCTAACGAGAACGGTCTGCCGCCGTTGAAGGCGAAAGGGTACGGAAGGTGATAACGCAAAGGATCTTCTTCGTTCGTCGTCGACAGGGCAACGGTGCTCTCCTCTGCGTCGAGATCCAGGTCAAGGTCATCCAGTTGCGACGTTCTTGCCAAAGCCGGAGAAGATTCGATCTCTTCCAGTATAGACTTAGGTGGATTATTGTCCATGTGACCACCCATCAAGTATTCCGAGGACGTGCCTGCCACGCAGGCTAGGGCCAGCACCAGTGTGCACGAACTGAACTGCATCCTTCTCCCCGTATCTAAAAGACCATCGCATAAACGATCAAGTACATTTCTTATGAAACATATATCAAGTTTTGTGTGCATAGGGTGAAGCATTTTTGTTCGTATCGATCGCGAGCTCTGCATTACTTTCTTATTATTAACTGCTTTCGATAACGTAATTAATCATTTTGAGGAAGGTGTTGAAATGAAAGAATAGAGATTTTCAGAATTGTATAACACCGATACGCGGTCCTTCGAAATTAATAGAAGAATACTTGTAGTGTAAAAAACATTTGCTTTATGCATATAAAAATTGATAATGAATTTGGCTGAATTAATATTTATCTTGATTTTTAATTTACTTCGGTATGATATAAATGTTGCGATTATTTAACGATTCCTCGCAAATTCCATACCGCGCTGAAATGCTCGAATACTTTATGCTAAGTATTCACGTGCCGCGTGTTTCTGGGCTACGAGTTTATCAAGCGGTGAAGTAAAAGGGGCCGGAAAGACGTTCCGTCCTCCCTTGCGTCCTACATTTAATATATCTGGGCATGGTTTCGAACGTGCATGCGGGATACGTGCACGATTCATGGTACGCCCACCGGATTTGATATGTACTGTAAACGCGTCAGCAGCCTTTGTATGAAATCATTCTCGAGCTGATGCAAATGAACGGATGCATCGATCATCCGTTCTTCGTGCATTCCACAATTTCTCAAATCAAACGCAATGCATCGTTTCGCTGAAGAGTTACGTCTTGAATGTTCACGTTTCATATTTAATTAAGATGCTCGTACAAATTTTAATCTCGCAAATGTACGGAACGTCAAATTTAACTTATAAAAATGAAAATAATGAAAATAAAACTTCCTAGGATCTTTTTGCTAAAAAGAACAAAAACGATCCTACACAATAGGCAATTTATAAAATATAGGATTTCTAAAAAAGAAAAAAATAAGACCGCTGATGCAGGATTCGTTTCTAAGAAATTGTATCCGTAAATTCGAAATAGATCGCGTTTTGAGATAATACTTCTTTTATTTTCGTGTATCTGGGACGTATTCCTCTCGGTTGAATTCTTAATTCACTATTCTGCGAATCTCGAATAGTTTTTTTAGCATCTCATAAACACTCCGAGATGCAAACGATCCTACACAATAAACAATTTAAAATATAGGATTTCTAAAAAAAAAAATAATAAGACCGCTGATGCAGGATTCGTTTCTAAGAAATTGTATCCGTAAATTCGAAATAGATCGCGTTTTGAGATAATACTTCTTTTATTTTCGTGTATCTGGGACGTATTCCTCTCGGTTGAATTCTTAATTCGCTATTCTGCGAATCTCGAATAGTTTTTTTTTAGCACCTCGTAAACACTCCGAGATGCAAACGATCCAATTAGGAGCGCGAGAATCCAGCTCGTCGATCGCGTGTAAAACTGAAATCGTCAGTTCCCTGCAATTACCGTTCATTGTCCGCAGCGTAATTGCCCGGTGTTTAAGGCGTTCAGGCTCCTGCTCGTAATTAACGGGCTCCCTTGACCGTGGCGAGCCATCTCTCCACAATGGAATGATAAACAGGGACAAGCTGCTACATCTTTCATCGAGCGGAATCGAGTTCCAACGCGTAACGGGCCCCTTGCCGTTCTCTCTTTCTTCTTCTTCGTCTTCGTCAGCGGCCTCGTCGCGATTATGCTCTCTCACGCAGCATTCCAGCAACCTTTTGTCGAGGCTCCGCAATCTCGATTGCTGTATTTGGCATTAGCATTTCGTTACTCGCACTTTCGAGCGAGCTTTCGTTGTCACGGCGGAGACAAGACCGGGACACGTACGAGAGGAATTTCCGCTTTGTCATCGGGCAAGTGTTTCACCGGGACGCTTCCACGATGAAGAAACCGTTTCGATGACGGAACCCGGGTCGTTTGCACTGGGATTCGAAATCGAAAAACAACGCGAAGAAGAAATGGCATTGTCGTGCACGAATCTTGCCCATTATTTTAGAGATGGTGCTGATAAACCGATATATAACTATCGGGGGCTGGATCGCGGTGAGCAGCCGATGCTTGCGAATCGAAGATCCGATCTCAGAACTTTCTCGAGGATCGAATACGTACATGACTAGCAGATTTAACTACACGCTTGCAGAGTTATAGGTAACTGTACAAGTTGTTATCTTATCCCAGTTTCCTTGTTTCTGCTGCTTTTATATTTCCAGCATCCTCTTCTCTACCCATCTCTTGGCGATTCGGACGCGATTTTTCCTTCTCGGATCGGGAACACAACTTCGGCCGAACAGTACAGTGTAAAGAGATCAACGAATCCGTAAATGATCGAATCCTGTTCTCTGGGTAATTATACGCTGGCTCGAGGCTTGATAATGCACGCCGAAAGCTTCCGGTACACGAATACCTTGACCCCAACGTGAAGCGCAGGAAATGCTGACTGTCGACGTAAAAGTGAATCGTGCAGAGATAATTGATAAAGAACACGTCGGCATGGCGCGAGAGAGAAGTAACTCCGGGAAGGTTTGACAAATAAAAGCCAACAAGTGGTTGCGTGGGCGGGCAGGAAGAAGAAGGAACTGGTACACGTCCGTCGACCCGAACGCGCGACTCTCTCGAGGGTCCATGGAATCGTCCAAGGTCCCTCGCTGCTCGCGACCATAATATTCGTGGCTAGGATGTTCGTGACCGTGACCGGCACGGCGAATCCTAGTTAGGTGACTGGCACACGAAACAGAAACGACTCTTGTTTCGTGTGTCGGTGCTCGCCGATGACCCACTTTTGGCCTCTCGGTTTCGGGGTTTCATCCTCGAAGAGCTGTTTCGGGTACAGGGTCATGAATCATTCGCTTTTCCGTGACCGACACGCCGCCGAGCAGAATCCTCGACGGCTCAGGAATTCTCTCGACCTCCTTTTCTTCGGAGCGACATTCAAATTTTTATCAGTTTGTTTTTCAGCGCCGTGCCGCGCGATGTCCCATTTGATGATGCGACACGATCCGACCGCGAGTCTTATGCATTTCACGGCGGTACGGGTTCGCGAGGAATGTGAAACGACGTTTAAGAAGTTATACTACGACGAGCGGTCCAAGCACGAAATTTCACGGCCCGCTCTAATTTTCTGTGCAATCTGTTTAGTTTGGAACCTCCTTTTGAGGACCTTTCGATGATACTTGACCGTGAGAAAATCAAAATAATAAATAAAAAATAATAATAAATAATATAAAATAATAATATATTAATATTATTGATATTATTATTCTAATATGATAATATATTAATATTATTATTCTAATATAATAATATATTAATATTATTATTCTAATGTTCATTAGAATAATAATTCTTCGCAAATGTNACGAAACAGAAACGACTCTTGTTTCGTGTGTCGGTGCTCGCCGATGACCCACTTTTGGCCTCTCGGTTTCGGGGTTTCATCCTCGAAGAGCTGTTTCGGGTACAGGGTCATGAATCATTCGCTTTTCCGTGACCGACACGCCGCCGAGCAGAATCCTCGACGGCTCAGGAATTCTCTCGACCTCCTTTTCTTCGGAGCGACATTCAAATTTTTATCAGTTTGTTTTTCAGCGCCGTGCCGCGCGATGTCCCATTTGATGATGCGACACGATCCGACCGCGAGTCTTATGCATTTCACGGCGGTACGGGTTCGCGAGGAATGTGAAACGACGTTTAAGAAGTTATACTACGACGAGCGGTCCAAGCACGAAATTTCACGGCCCGCTCTAATTTTCTGTGCAATCTGTTTAGTTTGGAACCTCCTTTTGAGGACCTTTCGATGATACTTGACCGTGAGAAAATCAAAATAATAAATAAAAAATAATAATAAATAATATAAAATAATAATATATTAATATTATTGATATTATTATTCTAATATGATAATATATTAATATTATTATTCTAATATAATAATATATTAATATTATTATTCTAATATAATAATATATTAATATTATTATTCTAATGTTCATTAGAATAATAATTCTTCGCAAATGTTAATTATTCTTGTTTTAATACTGTTTCAGATCAAAGATGAATTTCGGTTCTGCTTAAACAGACGAAGAGAGAGAATCGATAATCGCTTTGCATTGAAGGCAAATTTTGCTTTCCTGGTTCGAATTAAAAAGGCTCTGCTTGTTACTCGTGCAGGGAAGAGAACAGGAAGATCGACTTATCGGCGATCACAATTTTAATAACCCAATCGGTCTTTGCTTTCTTTTCTGAACGAAGGGATGCTCGCTGACCGATGCAAATCAGAGCAGGCAACCGGTTCCAGATTCAATTTTTAACGTGCTCGGACGTGGCGCTTATTGCGCTTGTTTTTGCGCTATTTGACGGAACGGTTCGAGACTTTTAATGGAACGCGAACTCGGCCTAATTATAACGGTACAATAATTGCAGAATATTCTAATTTTACACTGTCCGGGAAGGGATCGCATCCTGATCGACGGTATTTACGGTGATCGGTATTTGTTGCAACGAAGCTCTCGCCGCGCAGGAAACCAAAACTACGCAACGTCGATCTTTATGCAAAATGAAAAGTTTATTCGTCATCTCTTATATCACGCAAAAAGACGATAATACAATGAAAGTAATGCCGCAGTATTTCGAAATTCTTCTTTTATCCTCACTGTTCTGCGTTTCGTTTATCCATTTTTTTCTGTAAATGCATGAAGATCCACGGTCTACCGGGTTCAAAGATTTTGACATCCTTTTGACAATCTTTCGCTACCAAAAATCTGGCATAACATAAATCTCCACTACATTGTCCGCAAACAAGCAACAGATATCTGCGCTGGAGATCGATATTATTTTTAAAATTCACCAAAAATCAGCTTCCCGATTCAACACGCGATGTTCTCGATCATTTCTAATGCAGCGCGACAATAAATCACCGAACTCATTATAGCTGTCTATAAACAGCTATCGATCTAATTCAAGTTAAGATAAGGCGCTGCTATAAATAAACAATTTCGAGTCGTGCGCTATTTAAAACGAGACCACCTTATCTTTCGTGGCCTGATAAAGGAAGTAGGCGATCGAGATAATACTTTTTCAGTCCAGGATTTCGCGACAGAGCTCGCTCTCGTTTCTCGCGACCGATTTATCGCCTAAATGACGGAGGACAGATTACCTTGACCGATCGACGGGACCAAAGTCATGAACGGTTCTCGCAGTCGTCGTCTCCACGACGGTGGTCTCGGCAGAATTCTGATCACTCACAGCCCCATGCGAAAACTCTCCGCGCCCTCGGCTCTTATCTCTCCCGAGGGAATCGGCGATCGAACCGCGGCCACCACGAAGACGATTCAGCGTGTGACGTCCACGGTGCCCCGTAGCCCTGATAGAAGGTCACACGTCGACTGAGGTGCCTCGGCGACCAGGTGGTAGCAGGAAGACAACGAAGTGACGGTGAGAGGGCGAAGAGGTGGAAGGCCCGCGAACGAAATGGTGCAAGAGCAAGAGGAAATTCCGTCGAAAGAAAAACACGTTTCAGGAAGATTCTCCCATCGGCGACGTCACTAACCACGGAATGAAAGTACACCGTTGAATTTTAATAGGATCAATATCGCGAAACGAACGCCGGTTTGGAAAAACTTTCGATGATTTTTTTTATTTTTGCATAAGTAGCATCGCACGCTTAGCAGTGCGAAGATCTCGGAGAAGAGGAGAGGACATCGAGTCCTCGGTGGGTCGCTAACGCAATCAGACATGTAATCAAATTGTCCTGGAAACGGAAGTCGGCAGAATCCAAGGCATCAATTTTTCAGGAGCCATTCGCTGTCCGCTTCGGATTTGATTCTGAGATCGTAGAGACTTCCTCGTCGAATATGGACACGAAGACGCGTGCGTAAAACAAATGAGTCAACAGTGTTTTTTTAATAATTAATTAATTAATTAATTAATCCGCTGACCAGTCTATGTAAAATCTCTCTTCAGGAATCTCCGGAGGAAAAGTCGTCTCTTCGGATACTCGTATTTGTCTCAAAGAATATCTTTGCGGAAGATCAAGATTGTTTGCATCAGGACTCGAAATCTCATCCCGTTAAACACGGAAAAGGAACAGGGACAAACTTTCTAAGGTTTCCGCGGTGTATCGATTGGAGAAAGATTGTTCGATGCGTCGCGGCTACCGATAGAATGAGGAAGGAAGAGGCGAGGCGAGATGCTCCGTCGTTTCTCGGCTACCAATGTCGGAGGTGAGAAAGAGAAAGAGTTGTATCTGACTAATGGACGGCACCGAGTCGACAGAACGGTACGTGGAACAGTTAGACGACGACCCACATTGCGGGGAGTCGCTCAGGGCCGGCCAACGTGCCAGTTTCCTCGACCTTACCCTCCGTTAACCACGATAGACGCTCTACGATTAGTCTAAAATTGTTTGATCATCGGTCCCAAACCGCCCCCGTCTTTCTTTCCATTGTGACCGAGCTGTTCGAGCCTCCCAAGCATTATGCGAATATAATTATTGTCTCTGTTTTGCTTTCTCTTCGTGATCCCATTACTATTCTTGCAGCGTCCCCGCTTCCTCGCACTCGCGTGAGCTCGATCTAATCTTTTGCTTCTTTTTCGTTTTTCTCCTGTAAATCGATCCCTCACGCTTTGCTAGGAAATTTGCGTGCGACTGCTAGTCCGTTCACAGCTTGCCTTGGTAAATATAGCAGCGTAAAAAGATCAACTACTTTATAGATTTTCCTTAGTGAACAAAAGTACGCAAAGTTGGCCTTACAATGCTAAAAACTATGCGTCTTTTACTCATCTTTTCTACGTTTCGTTGCTCAGAAGTACGCATATTCGGTCTGCCTGTGTTCAAAAAAGCCCAACGTGTGTACTTTTGAGTACTAAGAAGTCCAAATGAGCATCATGGCCTCGTTCTTGTCCATGATAGCATAGAACTCGTGTGCCCGAAACTCTGCAAACGAGGAACCAAACATGTCAGATCCTTGTAAATTATAAGTTACTGTATTGGCATACCGAAAACCCGTCGTATCTTCTCTGGCAATTCTCCAGCTTTAATTTAAGCTCACAATAGATCGAAAGTTCTCACGAAAAATGATCTTTTCAATAATATTCAGTTCATGTAATAGTGTGCGTTTATTAAACATGGATTTCTACGATACATTTCAAATTTGCCGCGCTTGGTTTAGGGGTCCGTATAGCGCCATTACACGTAGCGACAAAACGCTCAAACTACTAGCCAAATGATCCCGACAGAGAAGCGAACACAGCGTTAGTGACAATCGCTTGAACCTTGTCTAAGGCGCTGTGTGCACTTCTCTGTCGGGATCATTTGGCTAATAGTTTGAGCGTTTTGCCACTACATGTAATGGCGTTGTATGGACCCCTAATCAAGCGCGGCAGATTTGAAATGTATGGTAAAAAGACACGTTTAGTAAATGCACGCTATTTCATGAACTGGATATTATTGAAAAAAATTATTTTTCGTAAGAACTTTCGATCTATTGTGAACTTAAAATTATAGTTCGAGGATCGCACTTCATGTTCGAACAAAAGAGGATAAGAGAGTGTTTACGACGGATTTTCGACATACCAGATATGTAAGAAACAATTTCAAGCATTTAGATTTGTATTTCGAATAGTTCTAATTACCCCGTACATAGATTAAAATTATAATGTTTAATAAAATAGATGCAATATTTAACATTCATGTGATCAAGTACTGAATCGAGTCATACACACGAGATCCTGTTGTTGGTAATTTCAATTATGTTTATTCACACACGCATACTTTCTACTGTATTATTGCAAGTTATTTGATAATTTTAATAAAATTATATAATATTTGATAATTCTAATAAAGCACACTAAGTATGGCTCAATTTTCTCGCGATATTAAAAAGTGTCTTAATATTTAAATATATTTTATTTGTACAAATATATCTTGAAGAAGATTTCACTTCTCATAAAATTATTTCCTTTTGCTTCTTCTTAGAACAGCTGCCGGTGGCAATGGAATTTTTAAAGTAATAATCTTCTTGTCTTCCTTTGTTGACGTAGCACCAATAATTCTGGCAAGATCTAATAATTTTTTCATACCAATTTTATGACTAAATGTTGTTGCAAGCAATTCTATATCTAATATAAAATTGCAAATTATTAAAGCTAAAATCATACAGTGTATCACTCCTTTATCTTTAATACTGGCTGGTCTTAATCTGTAAATCATTTCGTTATTTAAATTAATTATGTATGTAGAATTTTTTCTAATATGTTTACTTTTCATGTATGTACCTTCCAGTTGTGCTTTGTACACTATATGTGTCTAGTATATGCGAATTCACCTCTTGCGAAGCCTCACAAACTTCAATACCTCGTTTTTTACCATCTTTCATGGGCATATTTAACCATGATGCAACTGCTTGTATATAAAGCAGTAAAGCTGTCTTTTTGGTCTTGTCTGGGTCTGTGTGCAAGAACTTTATTGTCCTATGGAAGAATTTTGATCCCCTAAATGTAACATAAAATTATAGTTTATGTGAAATATATATATTATATCTCAATTTACAATAGTAAACATACCCTACTAAACTAGAATCATCATTTAGAGTTTCTATAGCTTTATCATAAAGAGTTTCTAACTTCTCCTGTGGTATGATATCATATATATCATAAACATCTTTTACAGTTTTTGCTTCCCTATTACATTTTGGCAAAGTAGTATTTGTTATGTACTCGTTGTTTGCTAGTTGCACTGACAAATCATTTTTGTCAATCTCAACATCTAAAACAAAAGAGATAGGTTCAAGATTAAAGTATCGTCTGTCAACTTAATATATAAATATAATATTAAAATATGTTCTTACCGATCACTGTTTGCTCTAATTGCTCTTTAACAAAGTCAACATTTACTTTCAGTTTCTCAAATTGTTCTGTTTTTCGCTTCATCTTTTTCGAACCAAATTGTTTATTCAACATAGCAACCTTTTCATGCGTTGTTGCTGAACCATTTTCCGTCACTGGTTTTTCCAATACAGGAGTCACCTGCCATCGTTCAACATGGACCATTCGAACTTTGCCTGTCTTTTTGTTATGAAGAACAAGCATGGTGCGCATTAAATCTTGACTCGTGTCGGGCTTATAACCTCTGTAAACAATCTGTCCATTTGAAAGAGCCAAGGTCCTTTTATTTTTCTTGGAGTCGTAGAATAGACCGCACTCCATTTTCTTAGCCTCTTCATCTTTGAGTTCTCCATTTTGAAAATTAACTGAAAAAAATCATTAATAAGCTTCTGCCGAATAAAAATTTAGACAACGTGTGACATTAACAAATTTATGAAGTTGTCCCTTTAATTTCAGAATAAGTGTACAGAAACAATTGAGAAATACAAGAAAAGTACAAATGATTATTGAATATCAATTACATGTCACAAAAAGGGAACTGAACACGTTACTTGTCTTAAATATAAAGTACTTTTTGTAAGATTATGTGCGTGATACCAATAATGGGTTGAACCTTGTCCGGATTTACAATTACTTCTTCAATATCCGCTTTGATCTTTATCTTGTCTGAAAATTCTTCACACATATTTTCTCTTTTCTCACAACAGAATCACATTTAAAAAACCATTCCAAATTTCCAAACATTCAATTCAAAGGTCTTCGAAGGTCTTCTTTGATTCCAGTATTGCCGGAAGTTGGCGAATTCTCAATTGTTACAACGGAAGTGAAATATTTTGATCGAATTTCTAAACAGCTTTCAATGATATGAATCATGTACATATATACAATATTTTGAAACATAGACGTAGTTAGTATTTTTTATCAAGATATGTTCTAGATATTTTAATGATGTTTCTTAATTTTCACTATATTATAAATATAAAAAGAAAAAAGTTCTCATTTCTCTAAAGATACATAAGATAATTTGAAGCTCATCTTATCTCAGGGGCTTGGCACAGGGTCTCTTGTTACTTTGTTACGATCCTGATGTATGTGACATGAACTTTCGAGAACTGCGGCATCGCGAATCATTTTTGTGTCAAATTTTTGAATGATTTGAGCGTTTGTTAATCACAAAGAAAACGGTGCAATGGCTAGTGAAGAAAGTTCTACGCAAAACGACAATACGGCAGTAAGTTTTACAACTGAGAAATATCGTGGAGGATAACAATCGTTAAACAGTGTTCTACTATCGAATGAAAATATTTTTTATTTTTACAGGAGATAGTTCGCAAAATAAGATATGAGTGGTATCAAACAGAAACGCATGTCATAGTCATGATTCTTGCAAAGAATACACGAAACGTTAATGTCGATATGAATGAAAATAGTGTATGTATGTTATTTCATAATACAAACATACGTTTCCTGTTTGTTTAATATTTATCGTTTAGGTCACTGATTATCCAAATAATTTTCTAATTTTTTATTCGTTTGTAGTTGCGCGTATCAGCTTTACTGCCACAAAGTGATTACAATTTAGAGTTAAATTTAGCTCATCCTGTAGTACCCGAACATTGTACGTTCAAAGTAAGTCCATCGAAAGTAGAAATCAAATTGAAGAAAGAATCTGGGATAACATGGACTACCTTAAAGGGAGATCCAGTAGCAGAGGCTAAGGTGCAGTCTATACCTCAAGGTAAGCTAGCTTGCATTTATATGGCCTGTTTCAATTTTGAGTTGAGACATTAAAAAGAATGTGTTATGTTTTTAGAAATTTTACAAGCTAGTGCTCAACCATCAAAGTATCCCACTTCATGTACGAAAACTCGAGATTGGAATAAATTAGAGAAAGAGATTGAAAAACAAGAGGCAGAGGAGAATGTAGAAGGAGAAGCAGCTGTAAATGCTTTGTTCCAACGGATATACAGTCAAGGCTCTGATGAAGTTAGGCGAGCAATGAATAAATCTTTTGTAAGTATTTGTCCGAGACTAATTTACAAAAATATAACTGCGCTTAATATACAATATTAATATTATATTCTTTATTACAGCAAGAATCTGGTGGTACAGTATTGAGTACTAATTGGTCGAATGTAGGAAAAGGAAAAGTTGAAAGGAAACTTCCAGATGGAATGGAATGGAAACCTTGGAACACATAATACAGTCGATATAATGGATATTTAAATTGCTTACTATATTTGACCAAATTCATTCTTTTTATTTTTAATAAAATTATTTCCTAAATATTTAAAATACTCGATAAAACTCATAATAATGTCTACTCCTCTCAGATGTTGTGTTGTATATCATAAAGTTAATTAATTATTTAAGTGACTATTCATAGATAATAATTATCTTATATTTGTTTAGTTTATTAAATACATTGGCATATTTTCCTGACTCAGTGTAACTTTTGTTTTATGTACAAAGCACAAAAAATTATATAT